GCCAACAGGCCATACTTTTAAAAAAGGAACAATGTGGTAATAAAATACTCTAGGTTCCTTCCTCTTGCCAGAGCCAACTGCCATCCTGCTGAGACTGGAGAGATTAAGTCAGTCTGTCTGTAGACTTGAAAATGGAATATGTCACCTTAGGTACAAGCCACACTTACTCTCTTCCTTGGGGTGTGTGTGTGTGTGTGTGTGTGTGTGTGTCCACACACAAGTGTGTTAAAAGTCAGCTTATTAAGATAACATCAGAATTACACATTCTACCCATGCTTCAAGGCCTGCTTCACGCATTTGATAGGCATTCATTAAGCTCCTATTATGTGCTAGGCATCTGGGTACAAAAGTCAAAAGAAAGAGTCACTATTCTCAGGGAGCTTACACTCTCTTCAATTACTTTCTCCATGTCCATGAGGACTTATAAGACCCCTCTATGGCTCAAACATCTTTCTGAACAGATCATGAATCCATCTGATCATGGATCAAACATACTGCTCTGAAAGAAATGGAAACTCATTAGAAATAGCACATTAGATTACTCTTATAGTGCCAGATACTTACATGTTCCTTTTTAAGTTTAGAGGACAAAGGCTTTTATGCAATTGCTACCACTGGACACCTTGGCCTTGGTTTTGGAATGGAAGAAAAAACCCTAGGTCCTACATAAACTTAAGTAGCTAAAAAATTCCAGCACAATAAACATTCTTTTTTATTCTATCTGTCACCTAAGTACAATTAGAGCCAGAATAGGCTAGTGAGTTAGACATTTTCTGGCTGCAGATGGGCTTAGAACTTGTGGAAATTTTCAAGAAAGTGAAATATTAACCTGTTATGTCAAATTGTCTACAAGGTGACACAGAAGTCCCCTGAATGCTACCTTCATTCATTTCTCGGGATTATGGAGTCCTGGACAGGAAACTGGTGTCTGAGAAGGGGATTTGGCTTTTAGGATTCCAGCTTAAGATACAGGAATAAAGAGTTTTTGCAAAGGGGCACTATTAAGTTCAACGAGGACTGGGAAAAACATATTTTGTCTTAGAGATACTGATCTTGGGGGATGGTTGGTGTTTTGTTTTGTTCTGTCGTTATACCATGTTTATTTCCCTCTGACTCTCCATTCTGTAACAAGGAAGAATTGTTAGACTGCAATATCTAACCAATATCTGACTGTGTAGGATAAGGCTGTCATAGGTTTAATAATTTGGTTTCTGTGGTCAGGGTTGGTCATTCCAACGACTGAGACTTAATTTGCGTGTGTGTGTGTGTGTGTGAGATATGGCTATTGAGAACCTGGATTTCTTAAGAAAGCTGCCTTTTTATATCCTTGGCCTATTTGTGAATTAAAAAATGGCTCTTCTTCTTATAAAATATATTCATATCCTTGTGTAACTTAGAAATCAGATATTTAGCAAGGAAACTTGCTGCAAAGATTTCTCCCCCAGCAATTTCTCCTCTAATTTTGAGTGATTTTTCAAAAATGCAAATGCTTTAAAAAATTCAATGTGATTACAACTGTTCATTTTATCTTCTGTGATTTTCTGTATTCCTTGTGTTTGGTAGGAATGGGTCTGATGTCAGAACCCTGTTGATTCAGGTTCAATTTTGAGATAAAAGAAGGCACTTGTAAGTTACAGAGTAGTTAACAAAAGAAGATTTATTTTGCCCTAACAGAGCAAAGATACGCAACAAGGATATAGGTACTTGCCTTCTATAGACCTAGACTAGCTGTTTCCATATGGAAACATGTCTAGTAGGCCAGAGAGGGTGTGATAACTCCACAGTCTTTGGACATTCACCAAGTTAGAAATTCCACACTGATTCCATGTGAGACTTTTTAGGCTCTAAAGTGACCAGGAAGCTGGCTCAAAAGAAGGGCCAATTAGGTCCCAAGGACAGCTTTGTTACTTTTGACAGAAGAGCAAATTCCCTATTTTTTTGGGGGGGTGGGGGGAAAGTGGGAGTTCAAGAGAGAGATCAGTAAAAAATACTGGTCCTATCACACTTTGTGAATTGTTCAATTATCCATAGTTCTGAAAGTAAATTAATTCCTTGGTCCTCTAATTTGTTTATGTGACATTTTATATCTAAGTCAAGCATCTGTTTCCGTGCTTAATTAAGTGCTTAATTTACACGCAAAAGAGGGAAGAAGATAGTTCCTTTAATACTAGGGATGGGTGAGTTTAATGTTGATTCCTGTCAGAATTGTAGAATTCACAGAACAGTCTGTGAATATTTGGAAGGGGAAGCCGTGAACACTGAGATGGCACGGCTTCACTGAGCACTCATCATGCCAAACTAACCTTATTTCCTTTACTGACAGGGTTCTTAGAAGAGCAGATCAGGGAAATGTCACCCACATTTTTTACCTGGCTTTCACCAAGACATCTGACATGTGTTTTTATTTTTTCCTTCCTGGTGTCAGAGCTCCGACCCCCCCCCCCCCAATCCTCTTGGTCCTGTCCCCAGATTCAATTTATAATCTAGAGAGAGAACAAAGATGCAGAAAAAAATGTCAAGAGGACCCAAACCTCTTCTCTAGTGAACTCCACACTTCTTGACTTTCAGGTTTTGAGGCAAAGTTTTCAACTGTCACTTCAGAAATGCAGTTCTGATAACTAAATGATTTTAGGTAGAAGAAAATAAGCCTGTGGACTATTTATTACAAGATGTGGAGATGTGGACTACATAATACTGTAGCTGGTTGGATGCAGAATGGCTGAATTCTCAGAAACAGTCTATGGTCATGGGACCTGTGTCTACTTGAAGAGAGGCCACTATTGAAGATTGTAGGCTGGCTGTTGTCTTCCAAGTTCTGGTCAATAACTAAATCACTGACAACAAATAAAGTCCCCAGTGGAACACATATCAAATTCTGGATGACACAAAAGTGTAAAAGAGAGAAGACTTACTGGATAATGGGGGGGGGGTGTCAAAAAGACCTCAAGCCCCTGAAAGTCTTGCCTATAATAATCACATAGGAAGAAACTTAATTGGACACATTTTAAGTCCTAGACTTTGGTTCCAAGGCAAATATACAATGAGGGGAGGGGGGACATAAGCAAAGAACACTTCCCGTGAGAATACCTAAGGCTATTACCCTCCCTCATTACCTCTGGTCAGATTTGTTGCTACAGTTTTCTAACTGTTCTCTCTGCCTCAAGCGTTTTGTTGATCCATCACTTAGACAGCAGCCAAAATGATTTTCCTAAAGTGCAAGTATGATCATGGCTAAAGTCCTGTCTTCTGTTAGAAGCCTTTCCCAGTCCCCTTTATTTCCAGGGACTTCCCTCTATTGATTATTTCCAGTTCATCCAGCCTGTAGTTTGTTTGTAGAGTTGTTTGCTCATGTCTCTTCCTCTAAACTGTCAGATCCTTTTAATCGGGGCCTGGGTTTTATCCTTCTTTTCATCCCCAGTGCTTAGCACAATGTCTATCACATAGTAAATGCTAATAAATATTTTAATAACCGCTTCAGTTTTCTAAGCATCCTCTAAAAACGTATCAAAAGGTCTTAGAGTTAAAACAAAGACTATCTCAAACAGGATGGTCACCAGATGTACATGAGACTTGCAGAAACAATTTATTGCATGAAGGGGGGGTACTTCTCATAGAACCAACACAGAAATCTACAAATGTCCACAGAAACAGCTTGAAGAAGCGGTTTCTGTTATTATTATTAGGATGTGACCTAGGAGAGTGAAAAACAAAGACAAAAAAAACCTGGCTCTGGAGCCAAAGAGCCTGGCTTCTAATACCATCTCGGAGGATGCTGCCCACATGCCCCTGAGCCAGTCCTATCTCCAGGAGCTGGAGCTTCCTTATCTGTAAAATGAAAAGGCTTGGCCTAGGCGGCCTCCAAGTCTCTTCCAAATCTACAAAAGGACCTTTTGACAACTTACTACCATTTTAGAGCTAAGTCTCAGTCTGTGACCCTGATTTCTGCAGGTGTCAATGGGAACTTAATCTATGACTTAAAAAGGCAGAACTTCATTTACTGATGGCAAACTTTATCATGTTCTCTTTAAGAAAACAGAATGAATTCAATCGGGTCTAAGATAGTTTCCCCCCAAGTACCTGGATCAAGTGCAAAGTCACTACAAATGCCACCTCGATCACTGCCTTATCTTTGCAGCCCGGCTGGACACTGTTCCCCTTTTTTGCATTCTCAGGCCTCTCCTCCGGCCCGCTGACCCTGCCTTCCCGGACCCAGATGCGGCTGCCTCGTTCCCTCGGCCTGCTGCCTGGCACACAGCCCTCGCTCGGCAGCTGCCTTCTTTTCCCGCGCCTCTAGCCCTGACCCCGTCTGGCCTGGACGGCCCTCCCCTTCTGACTCTTCCTGCCCCGGAGCTGGACGTCGCTTGGGCCGGCCCCCGCGCCTGGTACGCCCTCGCCGCCCTCCTCTTCCTGGCTTCCCCACCTAAAGTCCCGAGGGCTCACCCCTCCCCCCCGCCCGTCTGTGTGGGGGGCGGGGCGCATGGGAGGGGAGGGGGGGGAACCCGAACGGCGGCGCGGGCTTCGGCGGGCCCCGCACACAGTAGGAGCTCGGACAAGGTGTGCACAGTACAGCCGGGGGCTGGCAGATCGCGACGCTCCTGGTACACAGTGGGCGTCTAATAAACACCCGGTGGGCGCACGGCTTCAGAGTCCCCGTCCGAGCGCGAGGCGGGACACCGGGCGCGCTCGGCCCCGCCCCCGGAGGCCACGTGACCCGGCATCCCTCCGCCCCCCCCCCCCCCGCAGGGCCCAGGCGCTCGCTCCCGCCAGCCCCTCCCCCCGCACGCCCCCTCGCTGCCGCGTCTGCGCAGATTGTGGTGGGAGCCACGCGGCCGCCGAAGCCGCCGCTCCAACTCCTGCTCCTCCCTCTCCTCCAACTCCTGCTCCTCCCTCTCCTACTTCTTCCACTCCTCCTCCGCCGCCGCCGCAGCCCCGGCCCCGCAGGGCGGTGCCCGGCTGCCGAGAGGACCGCGCGCCCGGCCCCGCCGCCCCGCGGGACACGACGCGACCGCGACAGGGCTCGACGGGACGCCACGGGCCGCACGACGGCCGGCCGGACGGAGGCACGGCCGGCGCGAGGCCTCAGGTAAGCACTCCCCTCCGACCCCGCCGCGGGCCCCGAACTCACACCACGGCTCGGGAGATCATCCAGGACACCATCTTGGCCCCCGGCGTGGGGTGGGGGCGGCGGCGCTCGGAGGCCCGGCCCGGCTCGCCTCGGCACCGCTGCTCTCCTCTGCTCGGCTGTCCCAAGTTTCTTTCTCCGCGAGCCCGAGGAGGAGGAGGCACCCCCTCCCTCTCTCTTTTCCTCCCCCCCTCCCCGTCGCTCCTCCGGGCCCCCGCCCTCCCGCCCGGCGAGCCCCGCCTCCGCGCGGCGCTGATTGGCTGCCGCCGGCTCCGGGGCCGCCGAGGCCGTTGGCGGCGGGTCCCCGCGCCCGGGCACGCGCGGCGCGCGGCCCGGGAAGCCTGGCTGCCGGGGGAGCGGAGGGTCGGGGAGCGTTCCTCGCCGCCCCTACCCCCCCGACCGTTAGCCCCGCTGCTTCCTCCCTCGGCGGCAGCCTCGGGGCCGGCCGCCGGGCCGGGGGAGGGGTTGTGCACGCGGGTGAGAGCCGCCCCCTTCTCGGGCCGCTCCTCGTTACAGAGGGGAGCCTGCACGCGCGTGGACGTGGGGCCCGGCCGGGCAGCCGAGGTCGCGGCCGACGCCCCCACGGACCGGGCGGGAGCCGGGGGCCGCGGCCGCTTGCTGTCACGGACGGATTTCGCTCTGGTGAAAGCTGTGGAACTTTTCTCAGAAGTGTTTAAAACGCGCGGGATGACAAAGGCTGCCACCCCCGATCACCAGTCATTAAAAGTTCCCAAGTCCTAGGTTCAGCCTGTCTGGTGAAGCCTTGGCTGCCGGGTGCCGCCCCTGGTGCCCCGCCCGGTGCCGCCCCTGGTGCCCAATAACACACCTGCTGAGCTGAGTGCTACCACTGCCCCGTCTGAGACGAGGGAACCCGAGGGAACCCGAGGCCGCAAGATAAGGAAGGCGCAGATTCTAAAGACCAGGGCCAGAATCGGACTCCAAAGCTAGTGTTCTCTTGACTGAGACCGAAGAAGAGGAAACCTGGCCTGATTTAACTGCCCTTCTCTTCCCTCAGGTTTAGATCCTGTGGAATATTTGTAAAGTATTTGGTGGTTTAATACAAAAATCGCACATTGCCAGTAGTAATGATTGACAACTAAACTAGCTTTATTTTTACTTAATTTTTCCCCCTTTGGGAAGGGAGATATTTCATATTTAACCTCCTAAACTTAAAAAAAAATAGGGATGTTGTAGTGTGAAAAATGGTGGATGGGATCACATCCTACCTAAAATACTTAACTTGCTACCTGAGAAGAGACAACCTTTCATAACCTCAGTTCCTACTCTAGAATTATATACGTGCCAGTAGTTATTAGTAATGTTTTTAAGCTTCAATGTACAACAGCTCTCCTCCAGCTCTACTCATTGTGGCTTTGAAGTGACCCTGCTGGAGTAGATGTCAGGGCAAGCCCAGGACCTAGTGTGTGATTGTCCTCAGAGGACTGGCCTGGCTAAGTTTCCTTTACTTCTAGGATCTTCCCCTCCTAGTTTAATTTTTTTTTTTTTAAATTAAAAGGGTCACCCTTTGGCTTACTTCTTAAACAGCCCTAATCACTGAATGGACGTTGCCTCAGTCAAAGTGAAAACTTGGAAAGACCTCAGCTTAAAAAGGCCTAGGTGTCCCACTGCATCCTGGGCCACCTCCAGTCGTCCTGATCTGTATCTGGCCACTAGAACCGGGTGGCTCCAGAGGAGAGAGTGAGACTGGGACTTTGCACAGCCCTCCTCACTTAAATCCAATTCACTTGCATGTTATGGCATCACCTCCCTGATGTCATGGTCCTCTTCAAGAGCAAAGGACAAACCACACAAGGTGATCCGACTTCTGTACTGGAACAAATGGCTGCATTATCTGTCTGCTGCATCTTGGACTCTAGGATCTTAGAGGGTGAGCTAGAGTAAGGCTGAAGGTGGAGGCCTTGAAGATAGATAGTGCCTTGCATTTGGATAGCTTGTAGTTTAATAATAAACACTTTTGCATTGTTTTTTAAGTTTTACACAGCATTTTATGCATTTCCTTATTTGGCCCATTGGCATAGGAACCATTTGGTTCTTTCCTAGTTACCATGAACCAGTTTGGGCTGGTATCTTTAATCTCTATTTTTACAGATTTGAAAACTGAGGACAAATTACTAAGTGGCAGGAGTGGGGAAGCAAGCCCAGGTTTTCTGACTTTAAGTATATTGTTCTTTCCTCTAAAGCAGAGATTTCAAATATAGCTGCTTCAACCACGTTAAACTGTGATTGGGAAATATTTAACAAAGTAAAGATACAATAGAAAATAGAGAATATTACTATGTGATTTTCTAAGTCAGTATGCTTGGGATAAGGATGATCAGTTTGTCAACACTGATGGAGAACAACTGTCTCCCAGTTTCCTGGAAATAATTGATCCTTTTTTGGTGCTGACCAAGACATCATCATAAACCTTAGCTATTTCACTGTGCTTTTGGTTGGAGAGGATGCTCATTTAACCAAAGGGCAGATCCCATGGTCATCTTGACCTGCTCACTCTCCTCTGTTCCCCATGCCTCGATCTGTTACTAAATTAGACTGCTTTCATTTAAAATGTGATAAATCGTAGCTTCCATTTTCATAGTTTTCTAAACCTACTGTTAGACTTTAGCTGGGGCTGGATTTCTTTTCCTCTTAGGCTCTATTTCCCTCCAATAAGCCCTACCTGTCTGCCCCTCCCTCCCCTATTAAATATTGTATAAATACTTCAGCAATTCTGAGTTCTCCATCACATGACTGGTAAAGGAATCTCCTTAATGTGCAGGTCTGATTGAATTCCCTTCCTTTTTGAAAACCTGTATTTGTTCCCTATTGCCTACTAAGTAAATCATCAGTTCTTTAGCCTGGTGTTTATGGCCCTCCAGCTGACATTTCCAGCCTTAGTTCATATGACTTCCCTTGATGTATTTTTATTCTCAACAAACTGAACTATACTGTTCAGTCATTCAGTCAGCAAACATTAAGAGCTTGCTGTGTCCCAGGCATTGTGCTGTTACAAAAAAGAAGCTAAAACAATCAATCCCCATTCCTCTAGGAGTTTACATTCTAAGGGAAGGAAATAAGTATGCAGAAAATATATGCCACATAAATAGAAAGTGAATGAATTACACATATATACAAAGTAGTTAAATACAAGGTGGCTTAGGAGGGTGAGCACTAGCACTAGGGGGATCAAGAATGACATCATACATGAGATTGTGCTTATGCTTCATGTTAAATGAAGTTCAGTTGTTTCAGTCGGGTCCGACACTTCATGTCCCCACTTGGGGTTTTTGGCAAAGATGCCGGAGTGGTTTGCCATTTCCTTCTCCAGCACATTTTCCAGATGAAGAAACTGAGGCAAACAGGACTGAGTGACTTGCTCAGGCTCGTAGAGCTAGTAAGAGTACCAGGCCAGATTTGAACTCAGGAAGTTGAGTCTTCCTGACTCCAGGCCTGGTGCTCTGAGCACTATGGTGCCCTCTACCAGTCAAATGAAGAGAGGACATCTGTGAAGCTGGAATAAGGAGGGAGGTCATTAGAGACCTGCAGAATGGCCAGTGCAAAGGCTTATGGAGATAAGAGTGCTGTGACGGTGAGTTTGGCTAGATCACAGAGAGTGCCAGGAGGAGTAATGGCCATTGAGGCTGGAAAATTAGGTTGGGGCCAGGCTCTGTGGGGCTTAAAAAGCCAAATGGATGAGTTTATGTTTGATTCTGGAGCCACTGTTACACCTACTGTGTGCCAGTGCCTACTGTGCTATGCACTGGGAATACAAAGGAGGGAACAGGACAGTCCCTGTCCCCGATGTGTGTGGAAGGAAAATACCATTTTGGCAGCAGCGTATAGAATATACTGGGGTGGGGAGAGAGACCAGTTGGGAAGCTGTCATAATAATGGGCAAACAGTGAGGAATACCAGAGCTAAGGTGGGAGCTGTGGAGAAAAGGCAAGATTGCCTGACTGACTGTGACCTTTCATGTACCAGGATCTCCCTTCCCCTCTTCCCTGAGAAGGTGCCTCCCTCTCAATGAAGTTAACAGAGACAGGTTTCCTTGACGTTGGCACTTCTATAGAGGCACGATTGTATACATATATTAATAACAGCTAAAATTTTGGGAGTGTTTGAAGATTTACAAAGCATTTTTGTAATAACATGAGTAGTGCCACCATAGTAAGGTTCAGCGATTTGTTCTTAGTCACATAACTCAGTCCAGGAATCTGAGTTGGGAATGCCCTCAAAGGCCTTCTAGTCCAGACCATAGTAACCTGAGAATCTTTTCTATGATATTGCCCACATTTGGTCATCTGCCTTTCTTTTGAAGACCTCTGGTAAGTGGAAACTCTTTGCCTTTCCTAAGGCAATCTGTCCCATTTGTTGACATTTTTAGTTGTTAGGAAGTGGTTTCTTTGCCTAAAACCAAAATCTGCCCCTCTGCATCTTCCATCCCATTGCTCTTAGTGCTGCTCTTTGGGACCAAGTAAAATAAACCCTTCTTGGACTTGACATCCCCTCAAATTCTTGAAGTTATAATTGACCTTTAAGTCTTCTCTTCTCCAGATTAAACACATCTACTTCTTCACCAGAGCTTATATGTGATGAGCTTGACATCTTTCCCCAGCCTGACCACCTTTTTTGGATCCCTATACTGTATCAGTGACTTTCCTAAAACTAGTCTCCAGGATGGGATGCCCTAATCTGACTTTGTTCTGGCGAAGGTTAAGTTCCCAGGGTCTGGAATGCCCCCCATGTGACAGATACTGTGGTACCATGGCATTCCCTGTTTGCACTACTCTGCTGCACTGCCTCAGATTGAGCTTGTATTCCACTTTATAAAGCCCAGTGAAAATATTGGACCTGCTGAACCCAAAACTCCTGCCCCTTTTCAGATCAGGGTTCTCTTCCCATGACGCAGGCTGCCTTTCTAGTAGGATTGCATAGTCCATTTTTTGGCTAAAACTTGGTCATTCTAGCCATGAGAGCTCATTTCCCTCTTTTAAGCTAAGTCCAAGTAAACGGAGAAAGTTCTGAAGATGGAAAAATGAGCAGAGGGAGGAATTGGGACAGAAGGATTGATTGCTGTCATAGTGGTTGGTGCTGCTACCAAAGAAGGGGAAGGTTAGAACGTCTAGACCTTTTCTCTGTCGTCCTCTCTTGCCCCTGTATTTGAGGCTATCATTTAT